TTCTTGACTGGATCTTTTAACTTTTCCTCTCAGGAAATTTTAGACACCGCTTGCTTTTTTCCATCTCTGACTTCTCTTTGTCACTCTTTCCCTGGAATTCTCCCTTGAGGTCAATATATATAGGCACTCTCTCTACTAGATACCTGAAAGTACCTCCAACATGTAAAAAAAAAAAAAAAAGAAAAGAACATGTACCATCCAACATGTAAAAAAAAAAACAACACCAAACATTTATAATATTGTCCCTCAAAAGTACAACTCTAACGGCCAATTTGCACAAATGGGACCAGCATGCTTTCTTTGTCAGGCACAAACACTTGCATCACCCCAGACTTCTTACTTTCAGTCCCTCACCCTATCATAAAGCCAAGTCACCATGTTTACCACTGTTGAGGACACCTGGTGACCCTGTGTCAGGTTCCTATGTCTTTACATATTTATAGGAGAAGTGCACCTTTCTTCCTTGGCATAGTTGGTGGATCTGAACCACTAACCCCTCAGTTAACAGCCTAGCACAGTCCTGTACATAAAGCACACCCCTAGGCTTCCTTCAAAGCTTATGGACGCTTTTTCTACGATGTCACTTCCTGCTGCTGTCTCTGGAGATTCGACTCTTATTACTGTCACTGAGACAGCTGCAGGGGATGTAATATCTTCTTGTTTCTTCTTTTAGACGTTTAGGTTTCTTTTTAGAGTTTTAGGTTTAATCGGAACCAATCCATAACTGACCCTCCAGTGGGTTTTCAGAGGCAGTTTAATTGCGTAGAAGGAGACTCCCCATCTTTTCCCCAAGAAGCAAATCTCATGCCTTCTGGTTGGCAGCACACCTTCTTACCACTAGGCCAGCAGATCTCCCTACCAAGGGCATAAATGTATGCTACTTATGTTTATAAGAGGGGTTTTAAAAGTAAAAACTTAATATTGTGTTTATTTTACCAATTTCTTGGTTTTTATAAACTTAATCTATTCACAGTAGCAACAGTCAAGAAATCAAAAGACATGTTGGAAAATCTGCTATTAAGAACTTCTCTTAAGTGCCAAGGAGCAACAGTATCAGTTTAAAAATGAGAGCATGCTTGGTCTAGACAGTGGCCTTTTCAGTTGCTTCTTATGTATGTGGAAATATCTGAATAAGACCACAGGAATCTGAGTTGTGGTGTTGGACAGGAGTTTTGACTGTACCACGGACCACCAAAAGCAACCAATCTGTGTTGGAGGAAGTGCAGCTCAGTACTCCTTGGAGGCATGGACAGCGAAACTTGGTAGCACTACCTCTGGGTATGTTCTTAGGTGGAGTCAGTTCTTGGAAAAGGATGTCATACTGGGCAAGGTAGAAAGTCAACAAACAAGAGGAGTATCTTCAAGGAGATGGGCTGACACAGTGATGACAACAGTGGGCCTGGACTTGGAAATGACCATGAGAACAGCGCAGCAGAGGACAGGGTTCCGATCTGTTGTTCAGAAGGTTGTTCTGATTCATAGTCCACTCTATGACAGCTAACAGCAACAACCACCATCCTTCCGTGAAAGAGTACAATTAACTACAATTCAATGAAAGGATCTCGAACACTAACTATACTTCATCCTGGTACCTGAAGAGAACACAGCTCCAGCTGTAATTCTCAAGGTTAGACCAGAGGTATCCAACATCTATGAAAGATGCAAAGGCTTTCTCTGGTCGGCCCAGGAAACCAACCATCGCCCAGGAGTAATGATTGAGGAAAGCTTAATAGAGGGGCATCTCACAAAAGCTAAGGGAAATTGACAAGAGGCAGGGAGGGAGTAATTCCTAGGGGATGGTAAAAGGAGTATGTGAGGAGAGGGTACTCTGCAGAGCTGCAGTCTTTTTCTCAGACGCGTTGCCATTGGGTCCCATTTCCTACTCATACGAGCCCTCCACTGGGTTTCAAAGGCTACACATCTTAACAAGAGGAGACAGTTTGTCCTCTTCTTCAGAGCAGTAGGTGGATTTGAACCTCTTCTGGTTAGCAGTGCAGGACTCCAAAGACAGTGCTCCCTCTAGCCTGGCAGGTGCTGACTTGGGGGCATTGATGGGTCCCATTGACCAAGCCCAACCAGAAGTTATGAGCAGGAGAGTGCAGACTGGCCGCCTGGGTCACGGAGAGAGAAGGATACGGGTGAGAAGAGATCCAGAGAGGAAATGCAGAACGGCGAAACCTTGTGTCACTTTCACGCTCTGGAAAGCATTTTCCTGGGAAGACAGGAAACTCATCCACGTTAAACGACTGAGTTTGCTCAGACCACAGGGATCACATGACACTTCAATGGAAACTTCTGCTTTGGAGCCAGCAGAGGTGAAGGGACTGAAACAACACTCCTTCCTCCTCGCCCCTCTGCTCATCCCCAAGTGAGGAAGCCTCTTTCCTTCACTGCCACTTTCTTTTTGTGTTGCCAGATGGCTTGAACACATTTACTGTACAGATAGTAAACATAATGAGACATGTTAATTTTTATTAACAGCTCGCATTGCAGTTTATAATTTACACTACACTGACTGAGCATTAAGAGGTTAATGATGAAATAGTGGACTTCATTATGGAGGAAAACAGCATTAAATTATAAAGCCCAAATATAATACCTAGCAACCTTCTTCCGAACCCTTCTCCAGCCTGAACCCCCGCAGGAGAAGGACTTCGTGTTGGACACTGATGTTGGCTTGTCCCCCATCTCTCCAGCATTCATTTCTGCACCCTCCTCCTCCTGGTCCCCTTCTCTGCTCTTCTGCATAACCCCTGCTATAGTCCCATCAGTGGGCACTGGGAGGGGGCGGAGCTGAGAAGCTGTGCCTGGAGTCGGCGCACTGAGAATCCCTCAGGTGGGCAAGGAGGGGAGGAAGCAAAGGGGGCAGGTCTGTATATTAGGTGGTCCAGCAGGCACCTGTGAGTCACGATGTGGAGTTGGGGACCTTCTGGGGTGCTGGTTTCTTTCTTTGCTAGGTGCCTTTAAATCAGCTGTGACTCACAGTCACTCTATGAACAACAGACAGAAACCTTGTCCCATCCTGGGCCATCCTCACTCTCGGCCAAGCTTGAGCCCATGGCCGCAGTCACGCACCAATCCACCTTCCGGCCCCAGTCACGCACCAATCCACCTTCCGGAGGATCTTCCTGTCTTTCCCCGACCCCCCACCGTTCCCACTTTGATGTCTTTTTCCAAAGACTGGCATTTCTTGGGGTGCTGGTAGGGGCTGGCTCTTCCCCCATCCCTCCACTTCAAGGGCAAAGTAAGACTCTGAAGGTGGAATGTTCAAGAGTGTGGGATCCACAAAATCTAAAACAGGACCAAATCAATAGTTTCCCTTGAAAACCTATAAATAGCTTCCTGAAACCTCCTTTGCCTACCGTCTTGGGATCCATTCCCGGCAGCTCTCCTTTACGACATGGCCAGCTCGTTGGCTTCCACCTGCACACAACCATGCAGACAGGAGCCCAGGGGCCAGCTTGAGCCAGGTAGTGCTCCTACAGGGGACACTGGGCATGCAGCTAGATGGAAGGGACAGGTGATCCCGGAGAAACACCGGCCTCAAGGAGATGGCCAACTCCATCCTCAACTAACTCCTGTATTAGGGAAAACAGACCACGTCCTGAGGGCAAGGGTAGAACTCCACGAGACTAGAAAAACAACTTGTTGCCACCTAGTGATTTGGACTCAGATAACTCTCCCCTGCCCGGGGATTCTCAGGCTGTAAGGCTAACGGGAAATGGTCTCTTTTCTCACAGTACAAGCCGCTGCAGGGTGTGCCGTCAGAGTTGAGGACACACCACTAGCTAGCGAGAGGCTGACCTCTTAAACAAGCCTTTCCTCTTCCCCTGTGGAACTCCACTTTCAGTCCTGGAAACACCACAGTCTGTGGGCCCAGGAATACACCGCCCTCATCACCTCTCTCGGGATCCAACCTGGACAGAATTGGAACCAATTGTCCTTGTTCACCTCACATGCCTATGCCCATCTAGGGAGGGAAACAGAGCTGGGCTTCATAGTCCCTTCTGGGAGATGAACAACGTCTACGTGCGGTGCTCTACAAAGTGTCCACATCCCCGTCATAGGTTTTAGCTGGCTTGTCTTGGCATCTGAGGATTCTTTCATGGAGGTCACATGCATCCAAAGCATTCTCAATACTAAACCAGTGAAAGGAACTTGTACCACAGCAGTGGACACATCATCTCTGACACACACATGGCTCACCTGGGTGCCCGGACAGGATGCACCCCACTCACCCAAAGGCACACTGACACCCACAGCTGTTGAGTCAGTCCCCCTTTCCACCGAGTTCCCCTTGGGAATCTGTCAATCTTTACTGAAGGAAATTGCCCATCTTTCTCCTGAGAATAAGCTGGTAGATTTGAACTACTGGCCTTTCAGTTAGGAGCCCAACACTTAACACGTAACTCTGCCTCCAGGGCTCTTTACCCATTTGGACATCGCTTGTGTTCACAGATTATGTCATAGACTCATCAGTTACTAACTGTTGACATCAGTTCAAGTTCTCAACCTTGATTCCAACCTGGTTCTTCAATCCTTCACCTGGTGAACTAGTGCATGTTTGCCTTGGCAATGACTGATGTTTGTTTCTGGTCATGTGACTACAGGCTGGAGGCATTTGCCCTGGCTCACTGGGAGGTACCAGCAAGCTTTTCTTCCTTCTCATCCTATGACCGGGGTGGGTCTGACAACCTTCACCATGCCTCCTGTCTCCTGTGAAGCTGCTGAAGGGAAGAGGAGCATTGAGAGTGGTCCCCAGGCTCCGTAAGGTCAAGCAGCATCGCTTTCCTGATTTGTCATTGAAAACCATATTCACAGGAGAAAACAAGAGCATAGATTCACTTGTGAAACAAACATGATGCTATATAATATTTAAGCGGTTAGAATGAAATGAAGCTGAGTAGAGTTTTAATAGACTTGCCCCTTGTTTTGCCCTAGACTCAGTATTGCTCTCCATACTTTTTCCTTGAAATAGAACAAAAGTGGAAACAACTTACCGTAAACTGGATTTGGCAACCACCCATGATGTAGTCCAAGAAAGAGTGCATCTTGTGGATCTACACAACACAGAAGGAAAAGAAAAGCAGGTTAGTAACGCATGCCCCGGGGGCATGGAACTACAGGTGAGGCAGAGGGAGAGGAGGGGAGGGAAGGAGGTCCGCTGACTTTATGTCACTGAAGGAGAGCACAGGAGGCTCTGCCTGGGCAGATGGGACTGTGAGAAATGCACTGTCTTCTCTGGCCCGCCTCTTCCCTCTCTGCATTCATGTGTGACTTGGATCAACCTCTCTCTACAGACTAAAAATCATCGTCTCAAGGGTCACCACAGCTTTGAAATGAAGAAATGTGACATTTGCTTCTGTCTTGGTTTCCTCTACTAAAGTTCCTGTCTAGTCATATTGCTAAGGCTGCATGTCATCTGAACAAGCAACTTTCACAACCCCAATTCCTTTACTGAGAGTTAGATATACCCACTCTCCTGTCACGAAGAACAAGAATGAACATTTATTGAACATTTACTATATACCAGGCACTCAACATCCGTTAACTTTCTTAATTCTTAAAATATCTTTAGGATGGCTAAACTTATTAATCTTACTTTATTCATTTTTCAGATGATGAAACTTAGGCTAAGAATGTAAAGCTAGGAAATAGTGGAATCTGGATTCAAAATGATGGCAGGCTAGATTTTTAAAGATGCTGTCAAGACAGTGTGGTACTGGTACTTCAACAGGCACACAGATCAATGGAATAGAATTGAGAGAACCCAGAAATCACCTCTTCTACCTGTGGTCACTTAATCTTGGACAAGAAGACAAAATCAGCTAATTGGGGAAATGACAGTCTCTTTAACAAATGGTGTTGGCAAAATTGGAAAACCATCTGCAGAAAACATAAATAACATCCATACCTCACACCATACACAAAACCCAATTCAAGGTGGGTCAGGGACCTAGAAGTAAAACCAAAGACTATAAACTTCATCAGAGAAAAGCTAGGAACCTCTCTAGAAATTCTAATACAGAGCATGTGCAGTCTTCCAAGCATAATGAAAATCTAACAACCAGGAAGAATCAAATCCCTACACACATCAAAAAGTCCCCTCCAACAGGATAAAAATGAAACCTAGAGATTGTAAAAATATTTAGCAATCACATATCTAATAAGGGATTTGTTTCTAAAATTTATAGATTACTTCAGAACCTTAAAAAGAAAAAGATAAAGAATGGGCACAGGATATGACCAGACACTTCACCAAAGAAGACACTCAGATGGCAAACAAACACATGAAGAAATGTTCAAAATCCATAGCTAGCAGAGAGATGCAAATCAAAACAACTATGAGATATCACCTCACTCAAGCAATAATAGCAAAATTCAAGAGAACAGCAAACAACAAATGCTGGCAGAGTTGTGAAAAGATTGGAACCCTTATTTACTAATGATGGGAATGTAAAATGGTACTGCCACTATGGAAAGCCACTATGGAAAGCAGTCTGCTGCTTTCTCAAAATCTTGGAAATGAAAATACCATTTGACCCAGCAATTGTACTACTGGGAATATACCCTAAAGAAATCAGAGCCACGACTCAAATGGATGTATGCACATTCATGTTTATTGCTATGTTATTCACAATAGCAAAGATAAGGAAGCAACCCAAGTGCCCATCAACAAATGATGGATAGAAAGATTATGGTACAGTCACATAATGAAATGTTACACAACAATTAATTTGTTGTCACACAACATGGGGGAGCTTGGAAGACCTTATGCTGAGTGAAATATCTCAGTCATAAAAGGACAAATACTGCATAACACTGCTGTTATAAAATAGGACAGATGGGGAGGTTGGGGACGGAATGGGAAAACAGTGGAAGACAATGAACACAGCATTAGAATACACGGGGGGAAGAACTGACTGAAAGTAATATATGATAAGGGATTATATGTATGACTACAATCTGAAACAAGGAGTGTATTGTGGGATGGGCAGGGGGTGGGGAGGAGAGGAAGAAAGTGTGCAATGAATAAAATAAATATTTTTTAAAAGTGTGATTTGAATGGAAATTTATGGAGAAGATTACTATTCCCATTCAACCTTTCACATATATTTTAAGATCATGATTCTGATGCCCACATTGTATCACTAGTTTCCCTCCTATTTCTTTGTGATTCTTGTTCCACTCCTCTTTCCATGTCCCTTCCGATCTCCGAGCTTTATCTGGGTAAATGCTGATCATGTCATGGTGTATAGTATCTCTTGGCAAATGCTAACCACGTCACCATGTACAGTTCCTTGTTCTAAGGCCAGAGTACCTCCCTGGTTCAAGCTTTGGATGTGTCTATCATTTAGCTGAAAGTTTTGCCACAAGAGAGTTTAGCTCCAGGCTTGGAGGATGGCTCCAGATACTCTAGCATTTTACCTCTGCTGGAAATCAGTCAGTTTCCTGCCTGACCAATGTTGTCTATATTCTCTAAACATTGTTCATCTCTATCTAGTCTTCATTTCTTTTTCTTTAGGTTTCTGCTGCTTGATTCTTGGTGATAGTCATCTACTCAGCATTTATTGAGCACCTACTATGTACTGAATACTATGGATACAGAGAAAGAGTTTACAATCTGGAGCTTTCAACCTGGACAACCAATAATTGAGACTTTGACTTTAATGTCTCAGTTTATCAGATGCCCAGGGCAGCTTGGCAAAGATTGACCAAAAAAAAAAATCCTTTTTTTGTCTTTCCAGGTATCAGTTCTAAGTAGTTCACGTCTATTGGCAGACCTTTCCTGGGGCTCTGAACAGTGCCTGCTTCTGGATTTTGTTTGAAGCATTTTTCCTGGTAATTGGGACACCTTACATGTATGTTAAAGAAGAAGAATTTACAAATACATGAAATAGCAATGGCTTCAGAGCTCAAGTGCAACAGCAACTGATAGAGAATCAAAACAGATAAAACAATAGACTTAAGGAGTTAGGTGACCATCACGTGACCGAGTCTAGATCTTTTCTTCTGCTTTGCTGGTTAGAGATGATCATATGGACCCAGATGTCCAATCCATCATTCTTGTGCCAGTTATGAGATCCAGTAGTGGCATGTGATCAAGTCAGAGCAGTTAGCCTTCTCCCTCACTCTCTTGTTATGTAAGGATGTGAACCTGCAGCTCTGGCAGCCACTAGGAAAGCAATTTGGGAGAAGGAAATCAAGACAGATGAAGAAAGACTGAGAGAGAAGGGACAGAATCTAGTCAGCATTCAAGTCTTAGTTGGTAGATTCCGACAGACATGAGTTAAAATCCTAGTGTACACCTTTGTGACTCATGTATGTCTGAGTCCAATCCATTACCTCACCCAAAAGTACCAGTCTAGGATTGTGATTAGGGTTAAAAGGAAATTATTACCAGTTCCTTACATCTATTAAATTATCACTGGCAACATCTCTCAGCTGTGATTTAGGAGGTTTCATCATTAACAATGAGATTTTCTGCAAAGTTGGAGCTCCTCTGAGGACAACTGCCAGGCACCACTTATACGTCAGTGGGCACGGTGGCAGGCACATCCTTCTTTAGCCAGCTCTGTCCACTGCTTCCTTGAGCAGAGACTGCCCAATCTGTGGCCAGGACCGGCCTATCTTTGGAGGCAGGAATGTCCTGTGGAGGAGATGGTGGCATAGAGCCACTACAGCTCCCACAGCTCCCACGCTTACATTTCTCATTGTGTTTCTATTAATGCTTTGATGCTCAAGTAGCTATTCTTTTGAAAAAGATCATACCTTCTCCACACATTCTTCCCCTCTGACGGCAATTTCAGCTTTTCTCCTGAGACAGCCCTGCCTTCACACTTCTGCAAGAAAGAGGCTTCACACATACCTTGCACTGATTCAGAATCACAGTGCCTGAGTTCTTGTAATTCTTCTTCTTAGCTTTGTACTTGGGGTTGATGCACTCCCATTGTACCTGAAACAAGAGAAATCATAAGACAGCGTGCTCGGAAACAGGATGAGACACACATTAGGCCAAGCCACCAGGCGCTGCTGTGGATGAGCTGAAGGGCAAACAACTGGACTCTAAGTGGTCAGCCTTGCACGAGAGGCCAGTGATGGAGAGGAGCTGAGAGTGCAAATGATGGAATTATGCTGGTTGGTTTGAATCCCTCCACTTCTCAGCTGTGTGGCCTTTGGCAAATTACTTGATTCCTCTATGCCTTTGACATTTCTGTAGAATGGAACTCATCATGACATTACTTTCATAAAACTGTTGCAAAGATTAAATAATTAATACATAAAATGCACTTAGAATGGTACCTGGCACGTACAATTTCTGACTACTAACAGGGTCAAACCAGGCCTTGAAGGAGAAGATCTGCAGACACGGGGATTGGTACCCATGTACTCAGTCTTAGTGCCTTGGAGTGCGCATAGAGGGTGCAAAAATGGAGGAGCAAAAATGGAGGAATTCCGAATGCTGATCCCAGGAAGTTAATGGAGACTTATAGAATGAGTTTATATGAAACTTTACTGAAAGCTAAAATAATGAATTATGTCACAGCAGAGGCAAAGTAGTTCTCTGTGGGATCACCAAAAGGATCTCTTTCAAAGGGACAACATCAGTGTTGCAGGAGTCACTGGGAACAAAGAGCTTAGCTTTGTTGCTAACTAACCACCAGCAATCCATGGAAGAAAGATGCGACACCTCGTCTCTGTAAGTTTTCAAAACCTCTGCCTCTGAGTTGATCCCAATTCTCTATAGGAAGAGTGGAATTATGCAAAGGGTATCTAACGCTGAAATCTTTCTGGAAGGCAATTCCATATCTTCTTCCCATGCAACTGATGGATTAAAACCACTGACCTCACCATCCTTGTCTCCATGAAGTAGTACTCTGGCTGCACTTTCTCCAAAACATATGTCCATTCTTTTGACAGTATTCTTCTCCAATACCACAATTCAAAGGCATTGATTCTTCTGTCATTCTTATCCACTGTTCAGTTCTCAGATGCATAGCAAGTAATTGAAAAGACCATGGCCTGAATCAGGGGCACCTTAGTCTTTAAACTGACAATTGTTCCTTAGTATATTGGAGAGACCCTCGACTTTATGAAGGCAACATGCCCTTTGATTTCTTGACTAGTTGTATTAAAGGTGTTGATTGTGGATCCAAGAAAGATGAAATCGTTGAGAACTTAAATCTTTTTTTCCATCTCTCATGATGCTTCCTATTGGTCTAGTGGTGCAGATTTTTGTTTTCTTGATGTTGATATTTAATCCATATTGAAGTCTTTGATCTTCTGCAGCAAATGTTTCCAGTACTAATCAATTTCAGAAAACAAGATTGTGCTATCTGCATAATGTAGGTTGTTGATGAGTCTTCCTTCAATCCTGACGCCATACTCCTCTTTATAAAGTTCAGCCTCTCAAATGATTTGCTCAGCGTACAGATTGAATAGGTATGGAGAAAACACGCAGCCCTAACATATGCCTTTCTTGATTTCAAATCATGTAGAATTCCCTTGTTCTGTGGGGACAATAGCTTCTTGGTCTATGTACAGATTTTGTATAAGCATAATTAAGCATTCTGAAATTCCCATTCTTCTCCATATTAGTGATAGTTTATTATGATCTACACGATCAAAGGCTTTGCACAGTCAATAGAACACAAAAAGACTTTCTTCTGGTATTCTCTGCTTTTAGCCAGAATCCATCTGACATTAACAACAATATCCCTCATGTTAAGGCCTCTTCTAAACTCAGCCCTGGAAATTTCCTGTCAATGTACTGTTCTAGGCATTTTTGGATGATCTTCAGTAATATTTTGCTTGCATGTGATATTAATGATATTGTTCTATTAAAGATATAATTTCTAGGTATTGGGTCACCTTTCTTGGGAATGGGATAACTACGAATATTTTCCATTCATGGTCCAGTGTACACACATAGGGTCCAGTGTACATACAAACAGGGTTCAGAGCACACATACAGGGTCCAGTGTACACACAGGGTCCAGTCTGCACAGAGTCTCTGTGTGTGTGAGGGCAATCTACATCAACAGCAGAAGAAACTTCAAGTACTCTGCTTAGACCGGTGTGCCTTTCACCTCAGGCCACACTAGCCTGCTTCCCATCATCACAGCAGTGCTAACTCGGGGGTGTGTGTGTGTGTGTGTGTGTGTGTGTGTGTGTGTGTCTGCCTTCTGCTCACCAGAAGTTACACCAGGCTGACTGCAAGTGTCAGGGGTTTAAAGGTTTGCAGAGACAAATCTCCACTAATGACGGACGTGGAGTGGTTTATACACACCATATTTCCTTTACCTCTGGGTGGCAGACCTCTGAAAGTTGTGCTCTACACGTTCCTAGAATTTTCATAGAAGGATTAGATGTGAATTTCTCACATGACAGCTAGCTAGCTAAAGTACCATTTCTTGTCTTCCTCTCCTTCCCTGTCTCTTCTCCATCCCCTACTGGGATAGGTGTGTCTCCGTCATTTTATAAAGAAATTCTGTGCACTGAAATCCCACCTGAGTTGCTTCCTGGGGGTCTGGACTGAGATGCCACGTCACCTTGCAGGTTGCCTTCCATACTGGAGATACTGGACAAATAACGTGATTCAGAGGAACGGATGATGACAACTCCTCTGCTCACTTTATTATATATTCATGCCAAGATATTAGTGTCTAAAGGTAAACAAATGTCTGCACTGAGTGACCGTTTGCACCGAGTGACTGTGTGCGCTGAGTGACCGTGTGCACTGAGTGACTGTCTGCACCGAGAGACTGTGTGCACTCGGTGACTATGTGCACTGAGTGACTGTGTGCAGTCAGTGATGTGTGCAGTCACTGACTGTGTGCATTCAGTGGCCATCTGCACTGAGAGACTGTGTGCACTCGGTGACTATGTGCACTGAGTGACTGTGTTCACTCGGTGACTGTGTGCAGTGAGCGACTGTATGCAGTCAGTAAGCATGTGCACTCTGGCCATGTGCACTGAGTGACCGTCTGCACCGAGAAACTGTGTGCACTCAGTGGCCGTGTGCATTCGGTGACCACGTGCACTGAGTGACTGCTGCACTGAGTGACTGTGTGCAATGAGTGACTATGTGCACTCGGTTGCCGTGTGCACTGAATGACTGTGTGCAGTCGGTGGCCGTGTGCACTCGGTGATTGTGTGCACTGAGTGGCCGTGTGCAATCGGTTGTCGTGTGCACTCGGTTGCCGTGTGCACTGAGTGAAGGTGTGCAGTCAGTGACGTGTGCAGTCAGTGACTGTGTGCACTCAGTGGCCATGTGCACTGAGTGACCATGTGCACTGAGTGGCCGTGTGCACTGAGTGGCCGTGTGCACCGAGCGACCGACCGTGTGCACTCGGTGGCCACAACCACATGCTGAGCAGGGCTGGGACTGTGAGGATGGTGCCGGGCACGGTTCTGATCTGTCGTTCATTGGGTCCCTGTGAGTCATAATGGACTCAGTGGCATCTACCAACAACATAGCCTGCTCCTGCCCACAGTCCTAGAATGTCACTCAGAAGACACAGGAAATTGAAGCTGTTTCTGACAGGACTGAGGCAAGCTGACAGAGTGCTGACCCCCAGGAAGCCCCCTTTCTTCTGTGTGCACACGTCTTCGTATGGATGCACTAGCTGTGAGCTCAGCCATGTGCTCTGACTTTTGACGATGTGACAGCGAACACAATGTGAGCAGAAGTGTCTGTGTATTGGGATTCTCCGAATGTTGAGGAGTGTTCCCCACTGTAAGAACAACAGAAAATCAACCGAACAATGAAGGGAACAAGAGAAGCCTAGAATAAAAGATACAGGGTAAAGGAGCACATGGCAATGAACCCCAGCCACCTCTGTGGAGACCCGAGCGAGCCCAGCTACCATGAGGAGCAGAGACGACTGGTCCCAGCTGGACTCTGCCCACACTGCCAGAGACTGCTAATAAAGAAATGATTTCTTACTCAACCAAGACGTTTGTCATGATTCATTACTTGTTGCTGTTGTTAGGTGCCACTGAGTCTAGTATGACTCATAGTGACCCTGTGAACAACAGATCTGAACCCTGTCCTCTCCTGTGCCATCCTCACAATCTCTGACACACGGGAGCCCATCGCTGCAGTCACTGTATCAATCTACTTGTTGAGAGTCTTCCTCTCTTTCATCATCCCTCCACCTTTCCAAGCATAATGTCCCTCTCCAAGGAATAGCCTCTCTTAGCAACAAGCCCAAAACATGTGAAGTGAAGCTTTATCATCTTTGCCTCCAAGGAGAACTCTGACTGCACCTTCTCCAAGATATATCTACTTGTTCTTTGGCTGTGCATGGGGTATTGTTCCCCAACATAACAGCTCAAAGTCACCACTGTTCAATTTGTTACTTAGCATCAGGTAATTTACACAATAATTTCGTGTCACTTGTAGACTGTAACAGGGACTGGGCAACCAAATGAAAATATGGAAGAGGGATTGCCCACTGACTTGGGGAACTCCAGACTCTCTCCAAGTCAGGGATTCTTGGGGACAAATGAGTTCTTTGAAGAAAGAGAGAATCTATCATCTCACGATGGCTGTCTGTCTTTCCTTCCTTTCAGCTTTCTTCCCATTCCTTCTCCAAACGGGTGGTGCTTGTTAAGGAAGAATTCAGTCCTGAGTCAGAACAGATTTGACATATTTGGACTGACTCATCCTAGGTCTCTCCCAAACCAATCAAAATGGAAATGGCCTTTCTCTCAAAGCTTCCTCTAATATTACAGTATTAACCAGCGGCTTAGGGATTTACTCAATAGTTGGAAAGAAAAGCCTCTAAAATTAACTCTACTTATTTCTTTGTACTTGGATATGCCTTCAGGAGAGGCCAGTCTCTGGAGAAGGCCATCATGCTTTGAAAAGTAGAGAGTCAGTGAAAAAAGGAAGCCATCACTGAGATGATCAACACAGAGACTGCAGTGAGTTTAAGTAGAGATTGTGAGAATGGAACAGGACTGGACAGAGATCCATTGTATTGTGTTTAGGGTCATGAAAAATAGGATCCAGTGTGAATAACACTGGCAACTAACAACATCATTGCTTTATAGTATACATTCCCCCAGTAGTCTCAAGTTTTAAATTAAAGATGTTGTTTAGGTGTCACTGAGTCACCTATGTCTCACAGCAACCCTACGAACAACAGATCTGAAGCTTAGCCTATCCTGTGCCATCCTTAAATTGTTGCCATTGTGGTTATGTGCTGTTGACTTGACTATGACTGCTAGTGACCCTATGAACAATGATTCTGAACCTTGTCTTATCCAATGGGATCCTCGCCATCTCGGACACGAGCCCTTTGTTACAAGTCACTATGTCAATCTTGTTGAAGGTCTTCCTCTCTTAAGCTGACCCTCTACCTTTCCAAACATGAAGTTCTTCAAAGACTGACCCCTCCTTACAAGATGCCCCAAGCATGTGAGACAAAACTTCACAACCTTGTACCCAAGAAGCACCCTGGTTTCACGTTCCCCAGGATGTACTATTAGTTCTCTTGGCAGTCCACGGATATTCAGCACTCTTCTCTACCACCACAACATAAGACATCAACTCTTCTGTCACCCTTAGTTATTGCCTAGCTTTCAGATGCACAGCAAGTAATTGACAAGACCACGGCTTGAATCAGGTGTACCCTAATTGTCAGACTGACATCATTGCTCCTTAGTAATTTGGAGTGGTCTCTGACTGTAGACTTTCCCAATGCAGTATGTCTCCTGATCTCCTGACTGCTGGGATCAAGGGTGCTGATATCCAAGTAAGATGATGTCATTGACGTCACACTTTTCTCCACTTATCATGATGCTGCTTATCGACCTGTGGTGAGGATTTTTCTTTTCTTGATGTTGAGATGCCGTTATGTACCAGAGAGTTGGAACGGACCCATAGCTGATGCTCCACTGGGTTGTCAGAGGCAGTAGATCACAGGGGACGATACTGCCTGTTTTTCTCCCACAGAGCGGCTGATGAAGTTGAGGTGCACGCTTGCATCATAGGTGATTTCATTTGATCCTTAAAAGGATCCTCTAAGTACAATTGTACCTCTTTTTAATTAGGTGTGAAAGCTGAGACAGAGAGAGATTAAGTCACTTGTCCAAGGCTTTACAGATAAAGAAAACGAGCAATACTTCCATCATCCCTCTACATTTTACCAGTGGGAAAACTGTGCCATATTGGGGCGACCTCTTTCCCAAAGTCTCACAATTATTTGGATTAGGCAAGTCATCATCAAAGGCCAGTCTCTGCAGGACAACGTGTTGGAAAGTAAGAGGCAGTGAAAAGGAGGAAGATCCCTTAAGGAAGTGGGCAGACACAGTGACTCCAGCAATGGGTTTGGTCACAGTGGAGCTGGTCAGGGTGGTGCAGGGTCACATAGGGCGTCACCCTGGTGGACACAGGATTACCGCGTGGTGGAGCTGACCTCGCAGCACCTGCCAGCACCGTACAAGGATCGAGGTGCTTCTACCCCGTCAGGCTCCATTTTCATTACACTTAACCCTGTACGTGAACCCACCACCAGGTGTCCCACATGTGGCTGGGTGTGACATGTGCTCTGGGGGAGAAGCATCAGGAAGCACTCCCAGGGGTTTACCACGTACCTGCTTGCCCTCCAGGGCACCCCTCATCTCCTTGAACGTCGAGGTGAATTCTCCAATGAAGTCATGCTTGCCATTGGAGTCCCAGTCCCATACTATGCACTGCAAGAAAAAAAAAGAAGAGTTTTGTTGTGGTTGCAGTTTCGCTTTTAAAGAAGAAAGGGCAGCTGAAGGCAGAATGTGCTTCGTGTGGGATTGTGGCACACACAGCACAACGTTCCTTTTGTTTTTAGAACCTTTACGTAGCTGTGATCTCCAAGCAATTCTGTAATGCAGAGAGAGCTGTAATTGTTTAGTCGCTTTTCAGACACGGCCAAGAAGACCCAAAGGAGAGAAATGCCCCGCCAAGGGAATATCTAGTAAGTGCCAACGTGGGACCCGACTCCAGTCCCAGTTCTTTTCACCATGTTGTCTCCTGTTAGCTGCTGTCAAGTCAATGTCGACTTATGGTGACCACATGTCCCAGAGCTTCTCTGCCCTGCCTGGCTTTCTGGAAGGGCGCCCTGGCAGCCTAGTTTGTAGAGTTACGCTGCCAATCTTGGGTCATGGCTCTGACAGGTAAAATTCAATGGAGGCTCCTTGGGAGAAAGATGAGCAACCTCTTTTCTTGCAATTACAAGCCTAGGAAGCCCAAAGGAGGGTCGGCAGAGTCACTTCCAACCCGAGGGCAGTGAGAGAGTTGAGAATCTTTACTGAAGCATCTTCAGACTTCGCTTCCGTAACGGTGCTGGTGGGGTTCAAACTGCCAACATTAGGTTAGCAGCCCACACACACTTTCAGTGACAGACAGGCACACAGATTGGGACCGGATCATGTGGCAGTCATATGAAGCATCCATAGTGGTAGCTTAGGTGTAGTGATTTGGATGAGGCTTTATCAATATCACAGTTTTATTTTCTTTTTGTCCTACAGACTAAGATTGGAGGAAGACTCATCAACAACCTATGCTATGCAGATGACACAACCTTGCTTGCTGAAACTGAAGAAGAACTGAAGCACTTGTTACAGAAGGCCAAGGACTGTGATCTCCAATATGGATTGAAGCTCAACATCAAGAAGACAATGATTCTCACCTCTGGGCCAACTGGAAGCACCATGATGGATGGAGAAGAGATTGAAGTTGTTAGCAATTATAGCTTGCTCGGCTCCACAATCAACACTGTTAATACCAGCAGTCAGGAAATCAAAAGAATAATTGCACTGGGGAAATCTACTGTCAGTGACCTCTCTAGAGTGCCGAAGAGCAATGATGTCAGTTTAGAGATTAAGGTGTGCCTGATCCAGGTCGTGGTCTTCACAATTACTTGTTATGCTTCAAAGAGCTGGACAATGACTAAGGACGACAGAAGAAAAATCTATGCTTTCAAGTTGTGGTGCTGGAGAAGACTCTTGAACATACCATGGACTGTCAAATAAAAAAGGTCTTTCCTGGAGAGAATGAAATCAAGTCTCTCCTTGGAGGCTAGGATTTTGAAGCTCCTTCTTAAATACTTTGGGCATGTGGCCAGGAGAGACCGATCATTGGAGAAGGACACCATGTTCAGAAAGGTGGAGGGACAGTGCAGGAGAGGAAGACCCAATAACTGGGCAATGGGGATCAGTGTGTTGGAATTAGTGAGACTGGCTCAGGACAGGGAAGGCTTCAGAGCTGCTGTACAGAGGGTTGCTGAGGGTCACAGGTGACTTGATGGCACATAACAACAACAAAGACTAAGAGGGAGTTCTGGCAGCCTGACAGGTAAGAAGTTGTGCTCTTGACCCAAAGGCAGGCAGTTACAGTTCATCAGCTGTGATGAGGAAGAAAGAGGGTCAGTTTCCCCTTGTGGGATACAACTGGTGAAAACCCTCTGGAGGGTCAGCTATGAGTCAGTTTCCACACAACAGTGATGATATTATTTAAAGACTAGAGAGGGATACCAATAAAAAAATGTTACAATGGGAGCCTTTAACTCTGTCCACATGAATAATGAGTGCAAGTCAGGGACAGATAAGCTGAATTTGGAAGAATTGGACACCTACCACACATAAGATGTTAGAATTTATTTCTAACAAGAGGAAACCATCTAAAAATATTAGGGATAAACCCATGGCTCCCAAACCCATTGCCAAGTGACTGTGGAAATAAGCAAGAGAATCTCTGTTCAAAGATGCCTTAGGAGGCAAGAAAGTTTTCCAGGTGAAGTTGGACCAGAGTCTTAAGCACTTGCTCACTCTCTCTCTCCTCTTAAACCAACTATTTATTTATTGCAAATATTTGTTTCTATGTATATAGAAACAATTGTTATGTGTTCTTGAATCACCTGCGGTTCATAGTGACCCTGTGTACAACAGCCCTGAAACCTGCTCTATCCTGTGCCAATTTACTGTCTCTGACACACCGACCCTTATTACCCCAGTCACTGTATCAATCCATCTCATCCAGGGTCTCCTTCTCTTTATCTGTCCCTCCAGCCTTCCAAGCATGATGTCCCTCTCCAAGGATCGGTCCCTCCTTGCAACATGACCAATGTATGCCCAAAGACGAAGTTTCACAATTCTTGCCTCCAAGGAGCAGCCTAGTTTCACCATTTCTAGGACAAACTTGCTTGTTCTTCTGGCGGTCCATGGTATGTTCAACACTCTTCTCTAGCACCACAGCTCAAAAGCATCAATTCTTCTATCATCCCTAGTCATTGTCCAGCTCTCTGATGCATGGCAAGCAATTGCAAAGACTATGGCCTGGATTAGGCGCACTTTAGTCTCCAGACTGATGTCATTGCTCTTCAGTACTCTGAAGAGGTCTCTGATAGCTAACCTTCCCAAGGCAATTTGTCTATTGATTTCCTGGCTGCTAGTACCCAGAGTGTTGATTGTGGAACCAAGCAAACTAAAGCTGTTAACAATCTCAATCTCTTCACCATCCATCATGATGCTGCCAATTGGCCCAGTGGTGAGAATCTTTGTTTCCTTGATGTTGGCCTTCAGTCCATATTGAAGGCTGCAGTCCTTGTTCTTTTGTAGTAAGCAACAATAGAAACAATGGAAAAGTTTAATATCAACACTCAAAACAAGGCCAGGTGCGGACAGAGGAACAAGTCATAAATTATGCATGTTGTTGTTATGTGCCATCAAGTCACCTATGATGCAGAATGACCCTATGTACAAGAGCTCTGAACCCCGCTCCAACCTGGAATTTAATTTTTAGGTGAAGAAAATTGAAACAAGCCCATAAGAGAAAAAATATGATATCTGTTGTACATCTTAAGCCAATGATTTGTCACATGGAATCACAAACTTCATATGTATCAATGCTGCAAAAAGTGACTGTCATTTAAATTTGCTGTAGATAAAGTCACGGAAGATTGGGTAGGGTGATCTCAGAACTTTTGTCTGACTTAAAGATGCTAAAATCTGTTCTATTTCTGGAGGTTGTGAGGGAAAATCATGCAGACCTCATGACTGGAGCAACTTCCCTATTACAGTGACCCGTTCCCCACTGCAATGACCCCCTCTTACTGCAGTGAAACCTCTCCCTTCTGCAGTGACCCCTCTCTAGTTGAGTGTCTCCTGCAGTGACCCCTCCCTCCTGCAGTGACCTCCTCCCATACTGCCGTAGCCTCTTTCTTCTTGCAATGATTGATCCCTTTTAATAAATCCTCTCCTTGCCTTAAAAATAGATTTTAAAAAAATAAGTCCATTGAAAAATTAAGCTTATTCTGGTTGTGATACTAAGCAATATAATTTTGCTTTAGTAGGAGTTATGATATATCTTTTTAATTTAAGTCAGGATGAAGTTCTACTCATTCTTTCCAATGAAACAGTGAAACCTATCAACTGTTCGGCCATTTGGAAACACTCTTCAGAATGTGCACTGTGTTACATTGCAAAATACTGTGAATTGATCTGTTGTTACTTATATAACCTGGTGTTCCCCTCTTGGTCAATAGCCTCTCCTTACTAACTCTGACACTAACATGTTTATTACCTGGAGAAAGAAAACTTGTTTTCCCAGAAACAGACTGAGAAAGAATGGTTCCTGGGCTGTTAACTTCAAGGTTCGTAACTGTCAGATTGTCACCATCACTCATTGCATGCTGAATTGCAGTGCTGGATAGACTCTTACTCTTTCTTTTGTTTGTTGTTAGGTGCTATAAAGTTAAGTACAACTCACAACAACAGCATGCTCTGCTTCTTCGAGCTTGATGATGATGAACTTGATGATGGTGAGCTTGATGGGGTGAGCTCAATGACGGCAAGTTCAGTGATGGTAGTGAGCTTGATGAGGGCAAACTCGATGACGGTGGTGAACTTGACAGTGGTGGGCTTGATGAGGGGAAGCTCGATGATGGTGGTGAACTTGATGATGGTGAGCTCGATGAGGGCAAGCTCGATGATAGTGGTGAACTTGACAGTGGTGGGCTTGATGAGGGGAAGCTTGATGATGGTGGTGAACTTGACGATGGTGAGCTCGATGAGGGCAAGCTCGATGATAGTGGTGAACTTGACACTGGTGGGCTTGATGAGGGGAAGCTCGATGATGGTGGCGAGCTCGATGGAGAGCGCGACGATGGCGATCTCGATGAAGCTGAGCTCAGTGATGGTGGTGAGTTTGATGATGGTAAGCCTGATGATGGTGAGCTCGATGACAGTGAACTCCATGATGAACTCGATGACGGTGAGCTTGATAATGGTGAAATTTCTCTTTTCTGAGTCTGAGCTTGTTTGGTGTGAGCAAAACAAGTGTGGCAAAACTACATATTCTCACCCAAAAGGTGCTATTTACTTTATTAGTAACCTATTCAATTCTATTGATGAGCCACAAACACCCGACAATTGCATAGGCCTACCCAGTCATGTGGGACAACCTGCAGTATGCAGATGGCACAACCTTGCCTGCTGAAAATGAGGGGGGCTTGAAGCCCTTGTTATAGAAGATCAAAGACTACAGCCTTCAAAATGGACTGCATCTCAATGCCAAGAAAACAGAATTTCTCACAATGGACTTATAGACAACATTCTGATACTGTTGTTAAGTGCCGTTGAGTTGTCTGCGACTCATAGCCACCCCTATGTACACTGGCTGACCCCTGCCCTGTCCTGAGCCAGTTTCACTGACTCTAACA